TGATGATGATGATGATGATGATGATGATGATGATGATGATGATGATGGCTTTTTGAGACAGGGTTTCTCTGTGTAGCTTTGGCTGTCCTGGACTCACTTTGTGGGCCAGGCTGGCCTTGAACTCACAGAGACCCGCCTGCCTCTTCCTTCCCACCATGCCAGCTCATAAAATTATTTCCGTTGCTACTTCATAACTGTAATTTTGTTACTGTTGTGAATAATAACGTGAGTATCTGATATGCGACTCCTGTGAAAGGTGGCTGATGCCCAAAGGGGTCACCACACACAGGCTGAGACACCTGGTCTTAGCACTTGGACTGCTGCACAACGCCTGATCTATCCGGGTGACATCCAGACCAAACAAAGCATTTGCGAAGCATACATGTGGGTTCCTTCCTACAGAATAAAATGCAAATGTGTCCTTAAATTCTAGACTACGCAGTACCCTACAGAGCAGTAGCTCTGCTATGAACAATGAACGCTCAAGAATTCAAACTTCCCTTGGGATGCCATGCTGGAGGAGGGGCAGACTAACACCCTGGCACCAGCCTGAGGAGGAGCTTACCTCTTAGAAAGTGGTTTCATGGGGTCTGGAAAGGTTAAGATCACCTGCTGCTCTTGCAAAGGACTTGGGTTCAGTTCCCAGCACCCACTTGGTGGTTCACAACCACCCCTAACTCCAGGGAATCTGTTCCCCTTCTGACCTCTGCAGGAACCTTGTGTACACATGCTACACATACAGACTTGTAGGCCAAACACTCAGACAAAATGATGTAAATATTAATTTTAGAATTTTTTAAGGAGGTGACTTCATACAGTTCTGACAACTTATTCGACCACCTTGTAAGACAGATTGAAGCTGAGACTATGATAGGTCAATAAGAGGATTGCTTATACCTTGGCCGGGGCACCTTAATTCTGTGTATCTCTTGCCCTCTATATAAACATAAATCTCACATCATATCCCTGAAGACAGACGCTTGCTTTCACCTGTTCCCTTCCCAGTGTTCACGAGAATCGAAGGCAGAAGCTGGTCAGGTGGTTTTACAGTGATTCTAATCTTGTCTTTGGTCAGAAGTTAGCATTCTCCTTGGTTATGTCTTGGCCAGAGCCTAGATACAGGCAGAAGTGTTTGGGGGCTCTGGTCCGGTGTCTTGTTACCATCTGCTTTAATGCAGCTGCCTAGAAGCTATATGTTAAAGTGTGACCAGAACTCCAGTCTGGATACCCATCCCTTTGGATGAGTAGCTTCAGGACTGGATTCCTGGATATTCATGGTGGGAACGGACATCATCATCTTAATAGTGACATCATTAACCTTTAGCCCTTATGTTCTCAGCTCCCATCCCATCTTGTTCACAGTGGATCTGTAGCCAGGTGGTCCTATGGCAACCTAACTCCGTTTTCCTGAGTCGCCTTGATCACCCTCCAAAGCCTGAGACGTACATGCAGGCCAAACAGCAATGCACATAAAATAAAAATAAATTATTTTTTTAAAAAAGTTAGTCCAATTTGGTGTGTCACATACCTTTAAACTCAGTACTCCAAAGGCAGAGACAGGAGGGCCAGCCTGCTCTGTGTACATTGTGAGATCCATGGCTACATTGTGAGATCCTGTCTTAAAAAAAAAAAAAAAGTTATTCAGATAGACTTGTCAATCACTTGACCAGGAGACTATTCCCCAGGAAAACTGATTCACACCTGAGGGTAAGGGAAGGCCACTGGATGAGTAATTTTCCTCCGACTGAGGTAATGCTCTTATACCTCTCAGAAGCCCCTCTGGACGCACAGCCGCTTACAGATCTTCTACGATGCAATACTGCTAATCTTGTGCATTCTACCTCAAGAAGAGTAACTTTTCCTTCTTTCTCTTTTGGATATCAACCAGAAGCCTAAACAAGCTTTCCCAGACAGCCCGGGTTTCCTCTCTTCTTTTCTGAGACACCCATCACCACTGTCTTCCACCGTGCAGCAACTTGCCAACCTCACTGCTGAACTACCTGCAACCTTGGACCCTAAGTCAAAAGGCCTGGCCTTCTCTCCCCCCTTCTCCACCTTCCTCCTCCTGCTAGCTGCTGAGATTTACAGCTTGCATGCTTTGCTGGTTTTCTTCCAAAATCTAATAAAATGGTCCTTAAGTTTCCTATTGTGGCTACTTTTAAGTTATTTCATTAGCCATGCTAAAGCTCAAGAAGGGAACCCTGATTTTCATAGTAACAGTATGAAAAAAATCTCCGTGTCATGCTCGTCACTATGGTCTCTCTAATTGGTACTCTGGGTACAGATGACAAATAAGCTAGCCTAGCTTGCTGGGGACTGCTAAAGCATTGCGTTTGACCCTAACAGTAATAGCCTCACTTTGGGTTGGTCCTTTCTGATGGGAACTAGTATAGGGATTCAGTCCAAACTGAGAGCTATAATTTCTCTTTAACCAGGGGGCTGGGAAGCTTGAGTTGGTGCTCCTGGTGCTCTTGCTGATGTCCTGTAGGTGAGGGGGAGACTATTGAGAACTCATGATGGTTTTTTCTACGTTGTACTGCCATCCATTGGTAGAGATGTGGATGACACTTTGGACACTTGATTTCCCAGTTCTTGTTTCACAAGCTTGGAATGATCTGCTTCTGCCTGTACCTCTGTGTGGACGCATGAGGCTTTCTTTGGCTTGCCAGTGATGTCAGAGGCTTGCCCCTTCACCTTGAGGTTTGACAACAAATCTGTACAGTTTCTGGAGACTTCCTCTTCCACCAGCCCTCAGGAAAGCCAGGCACTGGAGTAGGAGCTGGACCTCTAATGCATCCTTCGGCCAGCAGCATGCCAGAGGAAAGTGCCTTCTACTGGAGCCTACTCTCCTAATTCTCCACTCCTCATCCTTGCAGATGGCTCCTTTATATACGACCACCACCACCATCACAGCACCTCCCTCTGGGGCCATGCAGAGAGGAAGAGACAAGTTAAAGACGGTGCCCCTCTACCTGGAAGAAGACATCCGCCCGGAAATGAAGGAAGATATCCACGACCCCAGCTACCAGGATGAGGAGGGGCCGCCGCCCAAGCTGGAGTACGTCTGGAGAAACATCATCCTCATGGCGCTGCTGCATCTAGGGGCGCTGTACGGTATCACCCTGCTTCCCTCCTGCAGGCTCTACACCTTGCTCTGGGGTGAGCAACTTTCTTTGTTCTGGGTCAGTGTCTCCCCTCTCTCTAAGGAGGGGGAGGTGTCTTGAAATGGGCAGAGGCCCCTCTGTGTCCAGGTTTCCCTAACCTTTTCTCTGTGGTTCTTGATAAACTGACTGAACACAGCTCAGTTGGATTGGGAAGCAAGAGGGCCTGTTTTGTTTTCCCCTCCCTTTCTCCTCCCCTCCCCTTCCTTCTCCCTCCCCCTCTCGCTGAGACAGTTGCTCATGTGACCTTGGCTGGCCTGACCTGCCCTCTGTCGCAGAGAATGGCCTGAAGTCTGTGAGTTTTGGGGACCACTTCCCAAGTGCAGGCATTATAGCGTCCATCACCACAACTGGTTTGGTTGGTTTGATTTTTCAGAGTCTCACTCTGGCAACTAGACTGTCCTGGAACTCTTTATGCAGTCCAGGCTCCTTGAACCCACGGTAATCCTCGAGCCTACTGGGATTACATCCTGAGCTAACATCTCTGGCAAAAGTAGCCCGGGGTGTTTTGTTGTTTATTAAGCCCAGGACCTTGGGTACACTGGACAAGTACTCTACCACTGTGACCTATCCTTAGCCATTGTGGGTACTTTAACATGAGTGCTGGGGACTAAGCTGTGAAGCCGTGTGCAGGGCTCGCTGGGGGGTGGCAATGCAGCAGTGAGGGCGGCAACCAGCCCTGAACAAATTTTCTGCATCGCTTACTTGACTGCCTGTCCCGGCCCTTCCTTCCTGCCACAGGAGAACCAGGCCTTACCTAGGGGACATGGGAATAGGGTACCAAACCAACTCCATGGGCTACATGTTGAATCCAGTCAGGGAGCAGAGTCAGAGTGTACTGCGAGGGAGGAGAAGCCACTGGAGAGGAAAGTACAAGAGAAGGCTGGTTGTCTACTCAACCGTCCAGGCCTTAGCCCCTGGCCCAGGCTGTGTTGTCCTGGAGGAGGGTGAACGGGGCTCCTGACACCCAAGGGGCTCTGCTACTCCAGGCAGGTCGTCAGGGTGCAGTGCGTGCCAGTGGATACTTACATTACAGAAACGTCTCCGGTTCTATTCTCCAGCCAGCCTGCAGTGAGCCCTTTCTCTTGAGCCATATCATGCCATGGTACTAATGTCTCCTAACACCAGCTGTCTTTGCCCTCTGCGCACCTTTCCTAGGCAGGAACAGGCATGTCAGAGAACAGAGCCTTGAGGAAGGTTTTTGGTCTACAGAAGCCCTGACTCTGGGCTTCTGGGAGCTCTGTGGACCGTAGGCCCTTTGTTTTCTTTGAGGTCTGATGAGCCAGTCAGTCTTTCCTAGATACTCCTGGGAGGTTTAGGAACTCTTTGACAACTCTCTCTCCCTTCCTTCCCCCTCTTTCCCCCTCTTCTTCTCCTACTTTATCTTTCCCTCTCCCTATCCACTCCTCCTCTTTCTCTCCCTCCCTCTCACTCACTGACTTTCTCTTTCCGAATTTATCAGTTTGAAAAAAACTGGTGTTATCCTGTCTGTCCCTGCCCTCTTCCATCTTGTAGGTGGTGAGATTTGGGTCCTTAAGCATTGTCTTGGAAAATCCACCCAGTGCCCCAAGAAAACACAACTTAGGAGACCCCCCTTTCTTAGAATCTTGGTTTTTCTAGTTACCTGCTAAGGCAATGATACATTTCAGAACCAGAAAGACTGGGAGTGGAGGGAGTCTTTAAAGTAGTTTGGGTCCCTGCAAGCTTCTTCTCCAGCCTGAGTAGCCCTTACAGCCCTTACTCAGTTTAACTCTGTGTTTGACCAACTGACTCTACGTGGCTGGCAGAGTTATTACTTCAGGAAAACAGATACCATCCAAAGCCAGAACTGTGGCCATTCGCTTCTGTACCCTGCCCTTTGAAGTGTGCTATTATTTTGGAAAGAAACTTGACACACAAAACCTGCACCTTGAATTATTTTACTCTTCTCCCAGGGCTCTGGTGGGTAGACTAGCTCACAGAATGATGGTTGTGAAATGTAGGTTGCAAAATTCTGCAAGAAGGATCAAGGTCTGGGTTGGAGCCTTCTCCTTCCTTTAGGTCTTAGAAACTTTTCCTGTTTTATCCCAAAGGAAAATGCATAATTAACAATTGACTGTAGACATGCCATTTCCCTGACAGGAGAATTATGAAAAGCTTTTCTCTCATTTTAGAGCCACTCAGTAGAGCTCTCTGGACTAAGCCAGCTTGCTGAGTGATCTGCAGCAGGAAGCAAATTCACACACTTTCTTGGTACTCTTGCTCTGCCCCAAGCCTTCCCTTTCCTCCTCTGATTTCAGAGCTTGCCCTCCACTGGTTTCTCCGCTACAGGCACAGTCCTCTGCATGGGAGATCACCACACAGCCAGAGGCTGAGACTCCCCTGAGGCCTCATTCTGGTTCAGAAGGATAAGGCCAGCACCCTTCCTGAGGACAGACGCTGTCTCTATGGCTGTCCTGGGGAATCCTATAGAAGGAACAGGATGGGACATAGGAGGCAAAGAGGCAAAACTGTTAGAAAACTGTAAACTCTTGATGCAGAAGGACTCATGGCAGTTTCTACGTTTGGTGTCTCCAACCTCAGCCGAGTTCTGTTGCCCCTGAGGGTCTGTGGTTTCCAGATGTCCCAGAGGGTATTTTATACCGCTTCTAACAAGGCTTCGGCCCCATGTCCTAGTGCTAGTACTCAGAGGAACAGACGGGCACACCCAGCGTCTGCTCCCCATTAGAGAAACTGTTCATATAGGTTCTCGGTTGGGGTGCTGTGTCACTAGGAAGGTGCGGTACGGCTGGGACTAGAACAGTGCTGCAAGCCTGGATGAACAGCTCGCTTTTAACTCCATCAGCATACCCACCCAAAGAGACATCTCTGACAACAAGGAGCGGCCAAGTACATAGCCCTTCCAGCTGCTTCGCCATCCGTGTCCTTGGGTCAGCTCACCTGTAGTATTACTAGGCTCCAACCCATTAAGATGTGCAGTGAACATGGGAATGTTAACAAACAGTAAAGCCTGAGCTTCTGTGTAAATGTGTGCAGGGCTGACTTGCCCTGAGACCCCCGCTCCTGAGCCGAAATGCGGCAGTTAACAACTGGCAAACAGCCATGGCCCTGTGTCCCATGAGTCTCCCCTTCAACTGGAGGGTCCTTTAGTTGAACTCTGACCGCCGTTTTCCAAACATTCCTGATTGGGAGTATTTAGGCCTGGAAGCATGTTTAGGCCTTGAACCTCTTGGGAGAATAACCTGAAGGTCAAAGGGCACCAAACCTGGAAGAATGTTCCTGTGGTCTGACAATGAAAGCTGGCCAGTGCTGACGACCTGTCTTCTTTCCAGCATCCTGCCTTTCTGGCCCCTTTATGCCTGGGTCTTCTTGATTCACCTCAATTCCTAGGATGATGATTTTTTGAGGTGGTGAATGCTATGATGTCTCAGAGACCAACCCACATATGCCTTCAAACCCAGAGAAGCCTACTCTGGTGTCAGGAGGGTGTTCTGACATGCTTCTCCTGGTTGGACCCAATTGGTTAGCTGACTCCTTTGTTGTCCCAGCAGCACATTTCTACTATGTGATCAGTATTTTGGGCATTGGAGCTGGAGTTCACCGCCTGTGGAGCCACAGAACTTACAAAGCGCGGCTGCCCCTGCGGCTCTTCCTCATCATTGCCAACACCATGGCTTTCCAGGTGAGAAGCTGACACTGTTCATTCTTGTGTCCGTGCTCTGTGGATGACCCAGGGTGGAGTCGAGGACATCAGCGCCCCGGGAGGCAGTCCTCAGTGGTCTTCTCAGTACACAGCTCCCCACAACGTGGGGCATCTGAGTCCCTGGGAAGGGAAACAGGAAGTTAGCAGAACAGGTTCTCTAGGCATAGCCTTTTTTGAACCGTAAGTTTCCTGGGTTATTGCGTAGGATGGCTGCTGCAGTCCCTTGGTTTAAAGGACCACAGACTATCCTCGAGACACTGACTGTGGTTTCCTCAACACTTAATCAACCATAAACCATGCTCTGCTGTGGCTGTCTGTAATAGGATGTGGGATGTGCCACAGACTCAAGAACTCTCTTGTTTCAGGTAACAAGAGCAGACATGTCAATAGTTCCATGTGCTGGACACTGGGCCAGCATTTGACAGAGAATAACTCCCTCACAGCCACCCCAGGATATAGGCCTCATTGTTCTACCCACCGAACAGAGGAGGAAACTGAGACATTAAATACACTGGCCTTGCTGCCCTGTCACGGGCTAGCATGACGGAGAGACAGCTCAAGCACTGACGATGGTTCTTGCAACAAATTTGTGATAGACTGTAGGAAATTAGGGAAGGGGCACTCCCTTAGCCATAGGCTGTTGCTTACATTATGGGATTTGGCATGGAAGATGAGGGAAAAAAATACCAGAAAAAAAATAATTACTTTGCTTTGACGATATCTGAGGTTCTTATCACATGTGTAATAACCTAGCTCTGACAATGTATGTGGTGAAGGCTTCCAGTTTCTATGATTGGAAAACAAGACGAAGAGACACATTAGCACATTCTTGAAAGAAAGGATAAAGTTCAGAAGAGCTCAGAGGTTATTCAGAAATGTGCTCAGGCTCATGAGTTATATGTTGGTCCTCTTGTGAAGGCAATGACACTTAGTTTTTGTACCTTTACAACAGAGCAGAGTCCAAGGCCATCTGTTTCTTAATCTCTCTGCCCCTGGATCAGACATCTTGAGAGGAACCCTGTCTCATGTTACTTGCTTAAAGAGACACCATGTTCTCTGCTAACGAAACTCTGACCACTAAGACTCACCTCCCATTTCCCCACCTTGCAACCGTGGAGAGCAACAGTGCTATTATTGTGCTCTGGACTGTGAGTTGCTTTTCCACATAAGTTGGGGCTCAAGTGTGGAGGAGAGGGTGCTTTTTTGTAGACAGCATCCCCAGGACTCTGTGAGTCCGACTGTGAGTCCCAGGCCCTCACAGACATCTAGGTCCTTGCCATCCCGCAGGAGGCCATCTCTTCTCACCGCTGGGTTCTCTTTCCTGTCCTTCCAGAATGATGTGTATGAATGGGCCCGAGACCACCGCGCCCACCACAAGTTCTCAGAGACGCACGCCGACCCCCACGATTCCCGGCGGGGCTTTTTCTTCTCTCACGTGGGTTGGCTGCTGGTGCGCAAACACCCGGCTGTCAAAGAGAAGGGCGGGAAGCTGGACATGTCTGACCTAAAAGCCGAGAAGCTGGTGATGTTCCAGAGGAGGTGAGTGGAGCTTGGGAAGTAAGGCTTCAAGATCTCCCCATCTCTCTTTGCATTTATAATAGATGAATGAATTTCTAGGTTTATATTCCAAAACTATCAGCCAAGTATGCTTATAATCCCAGCACTGGAGAGAGAGAGGCAGACAGATCTCTTTTGTGAATTCCAGGCTGGCCAGAGCACACAGTGAAACTGGAGACAGCAAAGATACTCTGGGGACTGAAGAGATGGCTCAGCAGTTAAAAGCACATCCTGGTCTTCCAGAAAACCCTAGTTCAGATCCCAGCAGCTTTGCTGGGTGGCTTACTTCCACAACTCCAGCTCCAAAGGATCTGACATCCCATTCCAGCCCTCAGAGACACAGGGACACCTGTGGCATTTACCCACACAGACACACAGACATATAAACAGACAAAATTTAAAAGACACATTGGCCAGATGTGGTGGCACACATGTCTTTAGTCCCAGTATTTGGGAGACAGAAGCAGGTGGATCTCTGTCAGTCTGAAGCCAGCCTCGTCTACATAGCAAGTTCCAGGACAGCCAGAGCTACATAGTAATACTCTTTTGTTTCAATAAAAACAAAAACAGACAGATCACTTTAAACCTTACTTTTTAATTGCTTGGATGTCCTCAGTCAGAGATGTTGCTCTGTTCCTGTCTCTCTGAACTAATTTCATTAAACCAATTAAATGTATCAAAGATTCACTGACCGAGGATATTCATGGACACAGTGAATTCGATTGAGCACTTACTTTCTGGGAGCTTTTAGAATATAGAATGGAGGTATATAATACACATAGCCAAAGTTACCATAAAGGAAGGCAAAATACTGTCTGTACCGTGAGAGGCAGAAAGAGCCAGGGATCACTCAGGGAGAACAAGAGGGTTGATGAAAACGTAGCATCAAAAACAATGGAAAGACAGTGCTCTGAACATTTGTGCACAGAAAGAAAACACGAAAATGAACTAAAGCCTTATGTGGGATCCAGACACAGTCCGTTTCCTTGACCTACAAAAGATATGACAGGAAAAAAGATAGCACAGACTCGACGTCATCTGGAGTGCCTTTGCTACAGATAGGATTGACACAGTTGACAATGAGGAGTTTGTCTCTTCAGCAACGTGTGGCCCAATCAGAGCCGTTCATTGAAGAGGCCACTGTCAGGTCAGGCGAGGAAGACGTGGAGCCCGAGAGATGAGGAAAGACATAGTTAGTGCAGAGGACTGAGAACAGCCTGTCTGCGCAGACTCAGTGCGTGATCCCTCCACGTAGGTACTACAAGCCTGGCGTCCTGCTCCTGTGCTTCATCCTGCCCACGCTGGTGCCCTGGTACTGCTGGGGCGAAACTTTCCGACACAGTTTGTACGTTGCCACGTTCCTGCGCTACGCCGTGGTGCTCAACGCCACCTGGCTGGTGAACAGCGCCGCCCACCTCTACGGCTACCGCCCCTACGACAAGAGCATTGATCCCCGGGAGAACGTCCTGGTTTCCTTTGGAAGTCTGGGTAAGTCAGCAGTCTATGCATTTTCACACTCAGTGGTCTCCTTACTCAGTGAGCTTCGAGGAAGACCTGAGCCATCTGTTTTAGTCAGGCAACATGTTTTATGTAAAAAAAAAAACAACAAAAAAACAAAAACCTACTGCCTTTGGAGTTAGAGGGTTGGTTGTGCGCATGCGTAGGGTACATGTGCGCCTGCTCGCAGGGACTGAGGCTTGGTAGGCGGTTGAACTTTCGGCCAAGGGAATGAGACCCTGTTAAGCCAGCCGTGTTCGCGCTTGTTCCTCCTGCCCTGCTCTTTGCTGTACTGGCATCCTCTCTGGTCTGGCACTTTTGATGAGGGACAGTAGATAAGTACTTGTAGTTCCATTTCTGGAAGGATCTTTAATAAGCCAGTAGATGAATAAAAAGGAACTGATTATAACTGCATCCTCGATGTGCCTTCCAGGGTCAGGTTACAGTAGGATCAATGGAGACTACCATAAGCCTAGTGTGTCATGACTAGCCACGCCATATAAAGTACAGACAAAAAAACAATGATGGCTTCGTTTAATGGGCTTAAAAGGGTGCCATCCTCAGAGGACTGGCTCACCTCCCTAATGTGGTTTCATGAGCTTCCAGCCCCATCCAAGTTTCGGGGACCCCACCACCACCACCACTGCGCATGTCTTTCCATTCACCAATGTTTAGGTTAATCAGCCACACCCTATAATTCTTATATTGTCGTAGAAATGGAGTAAAATGGACTGACATGCGTTCTGTAAGTGAAAGGATAATGCTCTTTTCCCTGCCTCAGCCGGAATGACTTGGCTGTTCTATGTAGCTTCGAGCACAGCACATTCTCTCTCCTCTCTCATCCTCTTCAGCTCTGTTTCCTGCCATTCGGATCCTCAGTTTCTTCCTCCCTTTCCTCTGCCTTCGCTTGTTCTCTCTCCTCATCCCTCCCTTCCCCTTTGCCGTTATCCCACTCCTCCTGAAGTGCTGAGGATTAAACTACAGCCTTGTGTAGACGCTCTGCCCTGAACTGCATCCCCGAGCCTTCCATGCAGCTTTTTAGGTTGTGAGACAGGAGCTCCCTAAGCAGTCTGAGCTAGTAGACTAGTCTATATACATATACATCTATATTATATATTTTTTTCATTCTCTAAGCCCTATTACTCTAGAGAACTCTAATATGCTCTCTCTCTCTCTCTCTCTCTCACACACACACACACAACCACTCTAATAAAAGGTTCTAATTGTAGCCCTGATCTTGAATTTCTACCAGTTAGATTTTTTGTCCAGCTCTTTTATTTTTACCTTGGAAATACAGTTTTTCTAATCTTACCTGGCGGGATTTGAACTTTCTATCCTGGTTTAGCCTCCACATAGCTGGGATTACAGTCCAGTGACACTTAAAACCGTATAAATCAAGACCCCAGAGTCAAGGAGTTTACCTGTTTTCTTATAACCCATGATAGATCTTTCAATGATTTTATCCATTCCATAAAATTTAGAACTTTATATGTTGGTGTTCTCTAAATCTTCATTCCCGAATATTTTTGACTGTGTACACAGACATTGAAAAAAGGAAGTTAGATTTTTATATTTTTTGTCTGTTTTTTGGTTTTCAAGACAGGGTTTCTCTGTGTACCCCTGGCTGTCCTGGACTTACTCTGTAGACCAGGCTGGCCTCAAACTCATCACTTGCCTCTGCCTCCCAAGTGCTGGGACTAAAGACATGTGCCACAACTACCCAGCAATTTTTATACTTCTTGAAGTCAGTTTTTATTTCTTGCAATATATTTGTGTAAATATTCATCCACATACTCATTGTCATAAAATAATTTTTTCATCCAAATAAATGAAGAATTAAAAACTATTTTAAGTATCATATTATACAAAGAATCTTTTACTAGAGTGGTTATATGTGTGTTTGTATATTTGGCAGGGTCCTCTAGAGTAACAGAGCTTAGAGAATGAATATCTATATATTATATTATATTATATTATATTATATTATATTATATTATATTA